TTTTTTTTTTTCTTTAACAGCATTATTGAGATAGAATTGATATACAAAAAACCACGTATTTTAATGTATGTATTTTTGATGAGTCGTTCATTCTTTCATTAGGTATTTCCTGAGTACCTAGGTTCTCTGGGGGTAGAATTAGGAACCCACGCCCTGCCTTCAGGAACTTACCATGTCCATTTTCTCCCTGGGGTGGCCAGGAGTCTCCTTCTGCAGCAGCTGAGTAGGAAACTCGAGTCCCAGTGTTATGCCCAGTCCACTCAAAGCCTCTTACTGGGGGAGCGATGAGAGACAGAGTAACAAGCCCTTTTTCTGGGCCCAGGGAACTGAAGAAGTGGTTCTAGGCCCCAGAATCCATGGTAGGGAAGCCCGAGAGTCCACCCCCATCCTGGTTTGGGCTCCATGAAGCTACATTCTAGGAATGAGGTCACCATGCAGGCCAAAGTCATCCTGGAAGCTGGATTCATTGAGGAAAGGGTCCTTGTTTGTTTCTTTCCAGTCTGTGGACCAGCATTCACCAGCTTGAAGGTTGGCGTGGGACACCGGCTGGATGCCCAGGCGTCTGGGGTGCTTGGTAGGTGATGTGGTGAGCCTGGGGGTGCAGTGATGTGGTGAGCCTGGGGGAGAACTGGGGAGCTACCAGGAACCCGGCTTACTTCCAGCCTGACAGCCATTTCTCACCATTGCCCTCCTCCCCTGATTCCTGCCCCAAGTCTGATCAGCTGCTGGAAGGGCCGGTGGGGGGTGGAGGGGAGGGGATGTCACAATTGGCCACCTTTATCAAGTGATTCCTGTATGTGACATGTGGTACAAAGCCCTTTGTGCACATATATTCCTGACTACAACCTTATTAGGTAGATATTTTATGATTTTATGAAGAAAAGAAGGCTCCAGGAACTTAGGTGACTTGGTCTGGGTCACGTGGCTAGTGAATGCCCCTCGTCCAGGGAGGGAAAATGGTCATCACTTGTGGGGGGTAGCCAAGCGCATGACTGGCCCCATTGGCCAGGGTCTGAATGTCGCTGGAGCTGGACACACAAAGCCCTGAGTCATGAGCCATCTGTGCCCCCGGGGTCAGGCGGTGGCCACATCCTCCATGCACGATAGTCACAGTCCCCTTGTCTAACTTCCTGGGGCACAGGCAGGCAGACATGATCTCATGCTCCCTCTCCAGGAGTGAATGGAGGGTCATTCTCTCCTTCAGCCAGAGGGAGAAACAGCCAGAAAAAGGCAGGGAGTGGTCACAGTGCCCCTTTATTGGGCCCTTCCTTTGTGCTGATTTCTTCCTGTGCATTGCCTCAACCTTCACAACACCCGCAGGGATCAGATGGCATTTTTATCCCCAGTTTGCTGATGGGGAGCTTGAGGCCCAAGTAGGTTAAAGGACATGCTTAGAGCCATCCCACATTTGAGTGCAGGTCTGTGTGACTGGGCCAGTGGTCTCTTGGTTTTGAGCACATCAGAATCCCCTGGCGAGCTTACTAAGGATCCTAGGCCCCTCCCCTCCAGCAGTCAGAGTCAGTATGTATGGGTGGGCCCTGAAATCTGCATTTTCATATCTACACAGAAGAGCTTACTTGTGCTGTCCTTGCCCCCCCCCGCTGGCTTTAGTAGCATTGAAGGTGGGAGTATTCTGGTGGTGGCTGTAAGGGTTGGGGGTCCCAGGGAAGGGGGAGCCAGGTGTGAGATCAGCCTTGCTGTCTTTCAGTGCTTGGCGTGGGACACGGACGCAGCCTCCTCACCGACATGTACAATGCTCACCTCACCAAGGTATGGGGGTGCTGGGGACAACTCATTTAGCCCCTAGTCCTTTCCCTGGGAGTCACTGGTGGGACTCTGAAGCCGAGAGGATTCTGTGGGGGAAAGGGCCCGGCCATCTGCAGGCATTGTTTTATGGCCGTGTGCTGGGGGATAAGGATAACACAGCAATGGCTGTAGGCATTACTGCGTGCGGGCTGCTCTGTGCCGAGCGCTGCACATGGACCCCTGTGGACTCCCTTGTGGATGCCTCACAACTTCCCCAAAAAGTGGGATCTAGTGTTAACCCACCTTACAGATGAGAGAACTGAGGCGTTGAGAGGGGATGTCACTTGCCCAGGGTCGTGCAGCCTGTAAGGAACAGAGCTGGGATTTGAACCTGGATCTGTCTGACACCAGAGCCCGATCATGACACCACTCCGTTCCGTCCTCAAGACTGAGAAGTGGATGTCACCACCTAGACCTCAAGGAGTTTGTGTCTGGACTGGGGCCATGGAGTCTGGCATCATGAATGGGGACAGAGGTGCCGTGTCAGAGAGCCTACATTTTTAGTGGTTAAGAGCAGTTTTTGGAGCCAAATGGCTTCAGTTCAAAACTAGCTTCAAGGTGTCTGGTTAAGCGTCCAACTCTTGATTTCGGCTCAGGTCATGATCTCATGGTTTGTGAGTTGGAGCCCCGTGTCAGTCTCTGTGCTGACAGCCCAGAGTCTGTTTGGGATTCTCTCTCTCCCTCTCTCTGTGTCCTTCCCCTCTCTCTATCTCAAAGTGTCCTTCCCACTCTCTCTATCTCAAAAATAAATAAACATTAAAAAACAAAACACAGGGGTACCTGGGTGGCTCAGTCAGTTAAGCGTCTGACTTCGGTTCAGGTCACGATCTCACGGTTCATGAGTTCGAGCCCTGCATCGGGCTCTGTGCTGATAGCTCAGAGCCTGGAGCCTGTTTCAGATTCTGTGTCTCCCTCTCTCTGTGTCCCTCCCCAGCTTGTACTCTGTCTCTCTCTCTCTCTCTCTCTCTCTCTCTCAAAAATAAATAAAAACATTAACAAAACAAAACACACAAAAAACAGCTTCTACTCCTCTGCCAGCTCTGGGTCCCTGGGTGGATTGCTTAATATCTGTGTATCCCCCCTTCCTCAAGTCTGTAATGTGAGAGATAATAGTATCTCCTCTATAGGGTTACTCTGAAGTTTAAATTAGTAACGGCATGCAATGTACTTAGCACAGGCACTTAGCACAGTCAATAAATTATTGTCACTGTTGCCATCATCTCTGACAGAGGCAGCTGCACAGATTGTATTTGGAGGGGTGGGGAGAAGCCAGCAGGGTGCATTGGGAAGGACCCAGCATGATAAGTTGTCAGGTTTGTCTGGAGAGGAGTTATGCAGGCATGAGGTGGTCTTAGTAGGGTCGTCATTGTCCTTTGCAGTCATAGAAAAGTCTGGTGCCCTTCCCGAGAGGGGCAGTGAGGTGGCTGGGGGTCTCTGAGTGCCTGCGCTCCCTGAGGGGAGACCTGAGGACCCCCCCACCTGTGGCCTGTCTAGCAGGTTGGGGGTTTGAGCTGTTGGCTCACTTCCTTCCTCAGTGCTGAGGGAGAGCAGGGACACTGACCATATCTTCCCCTCCCTGTCCCTGCAGGATTACACGGTGCGTGGCCTCCTGGGCAAAGCCACAGATGACTTCTGTGAAGACGGGCGGCTGGTGGAGAAGTCAACATATGGTGAGAGCCCACAGGAGCCCAGGGCAGAGGGAGAGGCAGCTGTGGCTGCCTTTGCATTTGCTGTCCCTTGGTTCCTACGGCCCCGGTGCAGGCCATTCAGCCTCCCTAGGTGACTCCCAACACACTAAGTTCAGTCTGGCTGTTAGAGGGCTTTGGGCACATGATTCTGTCTTCCGTAAACAAGTGCCATGTGTTCCCCCTTTGCTTCCCCACCTGGCATAAATGTCACCTCCCCAGGGAAGCTCCTCTAACCCCCAAATGAACGAGGTGGACTCTCAGAACAATAATCGACTAATGATTCGTGATTATTTAATATCTGTCTTCCCATTACACTGTCACCCGTGAGAACAGGGACTGTGTCATTCCACTCCTGTGGTTACACAGCGCAGAGCCTGGGACATGGGAGGTGCTTATTGGTTGGATGGATGGATGGTTGGAGGGTTGGCTGGTTGGATGGGGGGATGGATGGCTGGATGGCTCATCCTTTGCTTCTTACTCTCCCTGTGTTCTGACATTTTCCGTAGATCTAATTAATTTCTTATTTAATGGATGTTTTTTGAGCACCAGCCACGTGCTAGGTACTGGGGGTGGGGAGAGGATGTATGATGAGTCAGATGGGGTCCCCAGTCTCAGTGAACTCACAGTCCGGCAGGGAGAGCAAACACACACCACCACGTCACCTGGAGAGGATTAGAAACATGTGGCAAAGTAACACGATTATGTCTGTACATGTGGGTGTATCAGCATACAAAACACATCTAAAGATAACTAGCAAGTTGACACTTCTGGGAGAGAGGAAGGCAGAATTTGGAGGAGAGGGGAGGTGTTTGTTAATGCTAATCTAAATTTCTGTTTTTCATTTTTGATGTGTATTTATTTTTGATACATAAGTGGGGGAGGGGCAGAAAGGGGGGAGAGGACAGAGGATCCGAAGCAGGCTCTGTGCTGACAGAGAGCCTGATGTGGGGCTTGGACTTGTGAACCATGAGATCATGCCCTGAGCCACCCAGGTGCCCCCTAATCTAAATTTCTTAAAGAAGAAAGGCACCTGGGTGGTCAGTTGGTTAAGCGTCCAACTTTGGTCATGATCTCGTGTCGTGGTTCATGAGATTGAGCCTTGCGTCGGGTTCTGCACTGATGGTGCAGAGCCTGCTTGGGACTCTCTACCCCTGCCTGTTTGTGCATGTGTATGTGCTCTCTCTCTCTCACTCTCTCAAAAAATAAATAAACTTAAAAAATTATTGTAAATTTCTTCTTTTTTTTTTAAATTTACATCCAAATTAGCATATAGTGCAACAATGATTTCA